ACTATAATTGCACAACAAATGGTTTATAAATGCAAAAAAAGTACATTTAGCTGATATGTCTCCTTTAAAACACTTAGAGAATACAATGAATATCATTTACATTTGTGTGCAGTCTGCAAAAATTAATCCAGCAAATAAAACATGTTGAAGAAATCATAAAGCAGCCTGTTTAAATACTCTGCCCTGCTTCAGATTAACATTACACCTCATCTTTGTAGCTCAGACTGAAGATAAAGCTGACTGAAGAAATGTCACGCTTCTTTATTTATATTTATAATGTTCATGAGGTTCTAATGCTGTCAGTGGATCATCGGAGAACCTGTCAGAGATTCAGAGTGGTGGGCCTGGTTACAGAGACTGAACTCAGTTTTATCTGAAACCATCAGTAAGAAGCTCTTTCTTTCTTTCTTAGTGTGATTCAAAAATATTACAGTCTTAAAACAGTATTTATGTATCATTTTAGTTCTGCCTGCTGCTGTAAGATTTTAAAATAACAGATTTTCAAATGAAGCAAAAKTAAAACTTCTACCTTCCTAAAAATCAAATGTAGAGCTCTGATTCACATCTAAAAGTTGGTGTTTTCATTTTCTAATWTAATGCCATCCTGGAACCGGAAGGTCGCCGGTTCGATCCCCCCGTCCAGCCGTTTCAGTCGTTGTGTCCTTGGGCACGACACTTCACCAGCCTTGTCTTGATGGTGGTCAGAGGGTCCGGTGGCGCCTGTGTATGGCAGCCTCACCTCTTGTCAGTGCGCCCCAGGGCAGCTGTGGCTACAGTGTAGCTTACCACCATCAGAGTGTGAATGTGTGTGTCTGTAAGTGTAAAGAGCTTTGGGGTCCGGAGGGACTTGATAAATCGCTCTATAAGTTCAGTCCATTTTATAAAACATTTTATAAATATAAAAATCTGCTGTAAAACTTGAATATATTTACTTTTACCACTTTTTACAGTTTTTTTACAATTCCTGAAACACATTTTTGCGAACTAGTAAGATTTTCTCAAAATACTAAACACAATTTTACAAAACCACACCCAAACTGCAAAATACGTCCTCTAGCCTGCAAAATGTAGCACTGCAACCAAAACTACATACAGTATAACATTGTCTAAATCAAACCTTTGCACCAAGGGCACACACGTCATGCATATTACCAGTTTTTCTAACACTGTTGGGCATAATGTAAAGCGCTGTCATCTCTAGTGTGCTTATAATACTGAAATAGTTCAATGTGTAGGAAAATTTTCAGATAGTTCACGTGCACAGAAAGATTTGCAGATACACATATGCTTTTGAAACATTTTATTTCCCACCCAAACAGGACAGTGCAAAATATGCACAACAGATATATTTATATGGAACCAACAAAAATATGCTCACAAAAAAAAATAAATAAATAAAATAAAGAAACAGTGCTTGGACAATGCAGCCTGAAGATATTTTCCCCCACAGTACAGTAAATTATACAGGGAACTTGTACAGTTAGTGTYTGACATCAGTCATTCATGAAGTAAACAGGTGTGACACTGATACACTMTGACATGGGTGTACTACACTGTGTGAAATACATTTTGGTTACACACCTGTGCTCCATTCTAAATGTCCAGATGACAGCAGCAACAGTAAAACGGCTCAGGTTGAGCTGCTCTCTGTCCAGCTGCCTGTCAGCCACTGGTTGATGACATCATCAACTAAGGTTGATTTCATTCTTTATCTACCAGCTCTACCTCTCACTCTTCCTCCCCATCTCATTCTCACCCTCCCTCTTCCTCTCTCTGCATGTCTTCCATTGTWGTTGTGAGATCTTTTTATAGTGCTCCTGATTGGAGTGTTAACCATTACACATTCAGGTGTTTGTTCAGGTACAACATATTTGGGCCTGTTAGCTCATGTCATTCTGAAAGGCAGTGTTTTGAATTTGCAAACCTGTGACTTTATGTCAGATTGTTGTGTCTTATGCATGAGAACTGTGTTCAATTCATTGAAAAAGTCGTTTTGAATAGCAAAACGTGTGTAAAGCAGAAAATGTGTTTTGACTTTAGGAGACTTGAGAGGAGGTTTTGCTCTTTGTGTGTCAGTTAAAATAATTGTGCTATGGATGTCATTTTGTTAGCAATTGTAAAAAAAAACTGTAAGTAATGGTTATCAACTTTAGAGAGAGAGAGGAGAAAAATCTGGCAATAAATTTTCCATCATCCCACGTAGGAGCAGAAACACATAACTACAGGGATTTTATAAAGTCTGCCAGAAATTATTACAAATCGACCATTAGGGTCTTCAATATTAAACGACAGAGTATTAGGGCCACACAACAAGGTTTTTTATTATTATTACAAGATTAAAGTCGTAATATTACGACTTTAAATTCGTAGTATTATGACTTTAAACTCGTAATATTATGACTTTA